GTAACTGCTCAGAGGCTTTCACTCTGAAAATTAGATTTCAAAGAAATTTAGGAGGAAGGCTAAATCAAGAAATATACTAGGGAGTTCCAGTTCAAGATGGTGGAGTAGAAGCACGTGAGCTCATATCCTACTGCGAGAGAACCAAATCACAACCAGCTGTTGAACCACCATCCACAAGAGGACACTGGGATCAGCAAAAAAAAAAAAAAAAGATACCACATGTCCAAAGACAAAAAAGAAGCTGCAGCAAGACAGTAGGAGGGGAACAATCATGATAAAATCAAATCCCATACCCACTGGGTGGGTGGCCCACATACTGGAGAATAATAATACCAAAGAAGTTCTCCTACTGTTGTGAAGGTTCTGAACCCTATGTCAGGCCTCCCAGGCTGGGGATCTGACAAAAGGACTGGGTATCCCCAGGGAATCTGACCTTGAAGGCCAGTGGGATTTGATTACAGGACTTCCATAGGACTGGGGGAAACAGAGATTCCAGCCTTGGAGGGCACAAACAAAATCTTGTACACACCAAGACCCAGAGGAAAGGAGCAGCCACTCCACAGGAGACTGAACCAAAACTACCTGCTAGTATTGGAGGGCCTCCTGTGGAGGTGTGGGTCAGCAGGGGCTCACCACAGGGATGAGGGTGCTGGGAGCAGCTGTCCTGGAAAGTCCCCATTGGCATAAGCCCCTTTGAGGTCACCATTAACCCTATCATAGAGCCCTTAAACCCCAGGGCTGCTCAGGCCAAACAACTACCAGGGAGGGAGCACACCACCACCAATCAGCAGATAATTAAAGCTTTAGTGAGCAAAACCCAGTTTTTCCCATCACCAGCCTCTTAGCCTCCTCCATCAGAGAGCAGACAGAAGCAAGAAGGATCATAATCCCACAGTGTCTAAACATTACAGAAAATTAATCACGAGGAAAAAGTAGAAACCTATGTCCCAGATGAAGGGACAAGATAAATCCCCAGGAAAAAAAAAGAAAAAAAAAACCTAAATGGAGAGAGGCAATCTTTTAGAAAAAGAATTCAGAATAACAATAGTGATGATCCAGGATCTTGGGAAAACAATGAAGATGCAAGAAATGTTTACCAAAGACCCACAAGAACTAAAGAACAAACTAACAGAAATAAATACACTAGAAGGAATCAATAGCATGTATGAACTTCCACTTGCTGCATCAGCCCCCAAATCGTATGTAATTATTTTATAGTTAGGTTAATCATGTTCCCATTATGGTTTGCAACTGTAATCATCTTTATTTTTGTCTGGCTATTGATTGTGAAATTTGATAGACATCTTTTGCTACTGTGATTATGTTAACTATTACCTAATCATGTTATATGATTGGGCAACAGAAAAATAATAGGATTCTCTATCACCAAACTATCATAGTTTAACCTGTAATCACTTTTTAAAATCCAGATGCATATCAGAATTATCTTGAAATTTTTTTGAAAAATACAAATGCCCAGGTATTGCTTTTTTTCTCCAAAGCTCCAGGTATGTTTCTAATGAGCAGCCATGTTTAAAAACAAATGGACTATATGAGGATCTTTTACTTTTACCTAGTTTGTTTCACTTTTTCTACCTCATATTCAGTGCTCCCACTTCATTTAGTTTGTTTTCCAATTACTCTATCTCTTCTACGTTCTTTCTCAAGTTTTTATCAATTGTAGTAGAAAAGCTTTTGAATACATATATATATATAAATAGCATGCATAATATATATTAGAAAACTTTTTAATTTTTGCCTAACTAAAAAATAAAGTGAACTCTTTACATTAAAAAAATTTTTTAATAGTACTGGTGAAGAGAGATAAAAAAATAAGAGATGTTTATTTGTAGTCCAGGTTTTTCTTGTTATTATTTTTTGCTAAGAAATATTTCTCTTCCTGAGGTTCCAAAGCTTCTGAAAATAACAAAAATGGAAGGGATGGGGAAGAAACTCACTTGTGAATGGTTATATATCTGGTATCTTTAGTCTTTAAATAAATACAAGATTCCCTCACCAACTAACACACACACTACTGTACTGGCACAACACTATATTTTTTTCCATCTTCAAACTAGGTTATTAAAATACCCAGTTGAAGGAGACAAGCCTGGGTCATACTGCAGACAAGATGCTTTCATGTTGAGAACATAATAGCAGAGGTGGGCTGGAAGGGCATTCTGACATTCAGTGTATAGCATGAGAAAGCATCCCCGGAAGAAATATCCACTTACAAATATTCCAACAGAACAGACTTATCTTTACATGTCTGTCTCCCCACCTTGATCACGAACCTCTCAAAGACAGGGAACATCAACTCTCTTATTTCCAGTGCTGAGCACATTCGACCTGGCAAGACAGTTGCCTTGATGGGTAGGAGCACAGGCCCTGGGGGCAGCCAGCCAGGGACGTGTGACCTTGGACAAGTTAACAAACATCTCCAGGTAATTGAGATTAGAGGACAACTTTGATCAAAGAATAGAATTCAACTGAGCAAACCTTAAAGATCTTACTGGTTTTATTCAATGATTCATGAATCAGGTAGCATGCAAATTAACAGACAAAGAAGTACCAAGAAGTTGTACAAAACAACTTTTATAGGGGACTTCCTTGGTGGTCCGGTAGTTAAGACTCCATGCTCCCAATGCCGGGGACCTGGGTTCAATCCCTTGTCAGGGAATTAGATCTCTGCATGCCGCAACTGAAGACCCAGCACAGCCAAATATATATAAAACCTTTCATAGGTAGAAGCGAGCAGGAACAAGAAGTCATACTAGCCCCAAAACAGGTTGGTTATTGCAAGGTTACTCTCCTGGAGGAGGTGGCAGGGGTCTAAAAAGCAAGTGACCTAACTAGTGCTGACCAAGTGATTCCTGATTTGCTGATTTAAGATCCCATTTCTAGGAGAGTCAAAACCAAAATTAAATCAGATGTTAGTCTGATGACATGAGGCTTAGCATCATCAACCCCATTTGGGGACTGTTGTCTTGTTTCTCACTAGGCCTCATGAGGACCAATGAGTCCTTACATGTGCTCAGGAGGGCACCTATCTGCCCTCATGACCACTGATGCCCATTTATAGTGTCACAAAAGGCTTGGCCTGCAGACTTGAGCATACAGCCTTCCTTGCCCACTGGCTTCACCTCCATTTAACAAATGCTGTTTGGGTGCTGGAGGGCAGAAGTCAGTGTATCTGTCTACTTGTCTGTTTTGAATGGCATCTCCTGTTTTATCTGTATCTTCTTCCTGATTCTAGGTCTCCGCACAGCCCTTCCTTCACAACCAAAGAAGGTACCCCACCCCAGCTGTGAGGAAGCAACCAGCTCCAGCCTCCAGGGTAGTGGGGGCGCTGGCTCATCAGGGTTACCCCACCTACCCGTTTTCAGCTCTTCCTAGACCTTTATTACCAGCTCAGTGTATTAATTTCCCTCTGCAGAACATTTGTTTTCTTAACTGAACCCATATTATTAACCACTGGATCACCAGGGTGTTCCATTTTAGCCTAATTTTGACTGAATTTTAGGATTGGAATCACAAAGGTACTATTTGCACTTTTCTGTCTTGCTTCCTTTGCTCAAAATTGTTTCCAATTCATCCAGTCTCTTGCTTGTAACTTCAGCTCATTCAGTTTCATTGTATATTCCACTGTGTATATAACTACACTACAATGTATTTGAGCATTCTGTTGTGATGGATACTTGGGCTGCTTCCAGTCTGGGGCCATTCAAGAAGGATGCTATAAACACTTGTGTCCAGGTCTCCTGCAGCATTCCGGGTACCACATGAGGGTACCCATCGGGGTATCCACGGACAAGTGGAACTGCAGGGTGTAGGTGAATACGTTGAACTTCATCAGAGAGTGACAGTTTCCAAGTCGTACCAGAAAACTAAACAAATAAGAGACGAAACAAACCAAAGCAAAATCACCCCGCATTCAACTGACAGGTGTCCACACACGCCGTTCCCACCACTTTCCTCCCACACGGGTCCCAGGACCACAAAATCCGTCAAGGCAAGAGGCTTCACATCTTACTAAGATCTCTGACAACCGCTGAGGAAACCTGGGGAAGGCGAGACCAGGGTCATGACCCCCAGGACGGAGAAGAAACCAGGGATTCAGAAAAGCCATGCGACCTGCTCCCAAGGCACACCCCTGTCAACCTCCCGGGCCCCAGAATCCCCGGCCCAAAATACTCGATGCAACGACCCATGGCCCCCCTGACTCACAACACCCGACCCCACGACCCCACGGCCCCCGGCTCCTAAGCACTCGACTCCACGGTCCCCGAGCCCTGAGCACCCGACCCCACGGCCCCCAAACACCCGACCCCATGGCCCCAGGACACGCAACCCCACGACCCACACCCCTGAGTATCCGACTCCACGGTGCCTCGGTCCCAGAGCACCCGACCCCAGAACACTCAACCCCACGACCTCACGGTCCCACGGCCCCCAAGAACCCGACCCGACGGTCCCTGGCCCCAGAGTGCACGGTCCAGGGCCCGGCTGACAGAAAGACCTCTCACAGAAACCAAGAGCACCCGCCCCACCAAGCCGCGTACGCAGCCCACGAAGCGCCCGCCCCCCTTCCGCCCTGGGCCCGAACGCGCCCGGGTGTAGGTAACGCACGATCCGAAGCCGCGCTTTCGCCACTGCTCTGGACTGCCGCTGCAGAAAATCCACACCAAAAACGTGCTTTCCTCTGAAAACGGAAGTTCCTAACGTGGCGGCACCTCCGAAAGCGAAAACCTAGAGCCAAATATTTTCTAGAGGCTTAAACGACGGGAGTGGATTAGCTAATCAGTGGAATCTGCTCGCCGGAAGTAGGGCTGCACCTCGCCGGAAGTTGCGCTCCTCCATTTTATTGCCCGCAATGGCGGCCGTGTCTAGGTTGGGGCCGGGATGCGGCGCTCTTGACTGAGCGGGTAGGCCAAGCGGAGGCTTCAGGGACATCGGCCGCGGCGCAGAAGAAAACCAGCCTGGACGCCGGGGACGCTGTCATGTACGGCGCGAGCGGAGGCCGCACCAAAACCGAGAGGAAAAGCGGAGCGAAGGAGGAGACCGGGCCCGGCGGTGCCGGCGGTGGGGGGAACCGAGTGGAGCTGCTGGTCTTCGGCTATGCCTGCAAGCTGTTCCGAGACGATGAGCGGGCCCTGGCCCAGGAACAGGGACAGCACCTCATCCCCTGGATGGGGGACCACAAGATCCTCATCGACAGGTCGGTTCCTCCCCACACCCGCCGGTCCTCCCCTTCCCTCGCCCGCTTGATTTCGTCTGATGTTGACTTGATGGCCAGGACTGAAGGGGGTTTTTCTGGAGTCATCGGGGATCCGGGGGACACCCCTCCCCTGTCCCCACATCCCCCTGGTTTTGCGGGGGAGGGGATGGTGAAACCTGCCCTAAGGCACTGGCTGGAGCTGCGTGCCGCGTCTGTCGCCGGAGGGATCGTCTCTGCTCCCGCAGCCCCTCACGACCCCTCACTCTTGTCGCTGGGTTGCAGTTGCCACTCCGGGCAGTGGAAGCTGCCCGGGCCCAGGGCCTCTCCTGACCGGCGCTCTGGGGCCCTCCGCGCTCCCACAGCTCCGTGTGGTGGGAGGGCAGCCCGAAACGCCGCAAGCTGATGTCGCGATTAGAGACCTCTTGGACCCCAAGAGTTGGCTTTGAACCTCTCTTATCCCCAGCGCTCTCAGTGGAGCGCCCGTATTTTGCTGTCATGACATATGATCCACCCCCCTCCCCATTCCTCCCCTTTCCTTTGTTAATCCGATGAGTTTCACAGATTCAGGCTGAAGTTGCCAGTCAGTTGAAGGCCAGTTGACTTTTTGCAGACACTGGCCTTGCTCTTAGAGGTACTGTTCTTAGGGCTGGTTTCACTGTCTTTTAAAACTGAAGGGTGGAGCTGAGACAGAGATAATGTTCTTTTCAAATCAAACATGCTTTTAGGTAGTCACCCTGGAGCGTGTTTGGCCACTTTGGACAGAGGGGTCATGGGATTGAAATTTCTAAAGATGTTTGATTTGAAAAAGATGACCTTACATGATGTAGGTTGTTTGCTCCCCTCCCCTCCCATGTTTTCAGTCCCTCTTTCTCCTTGGGATTTTTGTGGGTTTGGTTTTTGCCAGTTTGGCAACTCTGCTTCTGGGGCCCGGACTGAAAAGTAACCGTGACCAACCATTAAACTGTGGAATAGTCTCTCCGAGTGAACGAAGCCCATCGTTCGAGACAATTAAAACTGGATTCTGCAAAGCCTTGGAACCTGACTATAGGGATGACCTCTGAGCTGGCCTGAATGGACACATTAATGACCAAACGCCTTTTCCATCCCCGACGTTTCCACTTGGAGTTAGATCTAGACAAGAAGAACTCATGAAGGGAGGGTCACCAGCTCAGGTCTGGACCTGAGGGCCCTGGCACTCTGCTCAAGCATGCTGTACCTTTAAACCATGGTTTCTATTGAATGATGTCGCCTGAGTTGTCAAGCGGCTTCCTTTTGAAAAGTGTTACTTGTAGCATTGTTAAAGTTTGATAAGCGAGGAAGTCTGAGCTTTTTATACAGTTTTCCATATCATTCTGTACATGATGTGAGTTAGGTCTTCCAAAACCAGTGGGGAGCAAACGCTACACATGTAGATGTGTAATATTTTAAGATAATGATCTACATTTGTAAGTTAAGGAGGTTTACAGCATAGTAAAAATAATTTTTAAATTTAATAATATGCAGTAACTTGGCTACCCTGAAATATTTGGCCTTTTTTCCTGTAAATGTCTTTTTTTCCCCTATATTTTCTAGTCCTCATTACAAAAGTCAGCATTGAAAAATTAAGCAGACTTTTGTCTCTCTACATCTGTTTTTGCAACCCTAAATCTGAGTGTCTTAAGTAAAATTCACTAATTCACTCATTATCTGAGAGTTGCACTTTGACAGCATCTTCATTGAACTTTTTGTATTTAAAAGCATAACAGAAAGTGCTTCCTTAGTCTTCATCTAACATACCTATGGGTCCACGCAAGTGCACATGGATGTGTGTTCATGTATGTTATATCCTGGGGGCATAAAGTTTAGAAGCACATATTTTATGCTAAATCTTCTAATAGTTTTGCTCTGTATCTAGTGAACCTCCTTAAACTGCACGTATATGTCACTGTTCCTATGTATGTGTGTCTCTCTATCACATAACCCAGCACTTATTTCCTCAGCCAAGTGGCTAGGGGGCGAGCCTAGCCAAGATTTTACCTCCAATGGACGCAAGTTTCTTTGGTGAAGATCTCTCCTGAGAGTTCGGGACTAGCAGAAAGAAGCGAGGAAATTTCGACCGTTTGGTTCTTACGGATAGGTATTTATGTATTCGGTTTGTGTGAATGTAAGCTATGATATTTGACTTTTCAGAAAAAAAAAGTTTTTTCTTTTTTTTTTTTTCCTTACAAATGGCATTGAATGGTTAACCAAGCCATAAAGGGTAAGAACTGCCACTGAAGTGGATACCATTTAAGCTATTAAAGGATTGTTTACCTTTAATTATAAGTTTTATAGTATGTTAGAAAGGAATTTAGACTTTGTTAAGATAACTTGAGTTTAAACGTAGGTGAGATATGACTAGCCAAATTAAATATAATGAGAAGAATTTTTATGTTTGCTTTCATATTTTTATTTCTTTGTTTTAATTGGTAAGTATACATAGAAAACGTCACACACGAACCAACCCAGACGTTAATTTCTTCCCATTGACCAGCATGTTCATATTACAGATATGATGGGCGCGGTCACCTGCATGACCTTTCTGAGTACGATGCTGAGTATTCCACATGGAACAGAGATTACCAGCTCTCCGAAGAGGAGGCACGAATAGAGACCCTGTGTGATGAAGAGAGGTATTTAGCCTTGCATACGGACTTGCTTGAGGAGGAGGCAAGGCAAGGTACTGCTCAAGAAAAACTTACTTAAGCAACAAACTTTTTAAAAATTTTTTAAGTATTTAAAAGTTTACTCCCATTCATTTTTTTATACTCACTCTTTCTGATATTATCTTGACAGTACCCAGTGGATTGGAAAAACAGCAGTCTTTGCGTTCTGAGAGGACCTCAGGATAGTTTATATATAGAGCCACAGAGAATTTTCCCAGCTTTTGAGGGCAGACTGGGATTTGAAAAAACAAAAACCAAACTCTTTAACTGTTCTTCTTTAACAGTATCGTATAAATTAAAATTGATGTTCTTGTCTTTGCCATAACAATCTTTAATACAGTTCTTAATCCCCAAGTTTCTCAGCAGGAAGAAATTTTCCACAAAAGACGTGTAATCTGCTGTCTGTGGTAAACATGTACTGGCAAAAGTACATATTGATAGATGTGAAGTGTGAAATTTTAAAAAACATTTTTGCCTCAAAAAGAGGTTGGAAAAAGTGTGTTGTATGCTTTACTGATAGCCACAACTTTAGAAATATGTAAAATGTTTCTCAGTAAATTTCTGCTCTGTTAACATAATTCTCGTTTTTGTTCAAGAGGAAGAATACAAGCGGTTGAGTGAAGCACTGGCAGAGGACGGGAGCTATAATGCGGTGGGGTTCACGTACGGCAGTGATTACTATGACCCGTCCGAACCCACGGAGGAAGAGGAGCCTTCCAAGCAGAGAGGTGAGGTGAGGGGGCTGCCCGGGTGGTGCTGTTGGGCAGGCACTGCATGTAACCGTAGAGTCTTCAGAGCACGATTACGGGCACTAAACAGCCACAGTGTCACCGTGCGACACAGAGGAAACATGGTTGATGTTCGGGTAAAACAAAGCTAAGAAGTAGGAAAGGAATTGTTGGAAGTGGGAATGAATTCAGACTTCAGTTATCTTCCAAGGATCTGGTTGCCTTTTCCTTCCTTTCTTTTGGATTCATGGAGCAGGAAGTTATTCTAGATTCTGTGTTTCCAGACAGACAGTGCATGTGTTGAAATCGATAGTAACTCATTCTCAGAGCATTGATGGGACAGGCATTAACCACTCTCCTGCTAACCTGCTTCTTCATAGCCACTCCATGAGTGAAATGACAGGTGTCCAGTGGAAGGACACCTGTGGAGTCAGTTATTATCAAACAGAAGATAGCACAGGGTGTCCTGGTTAGTCTCCATATGCCCTAGGACATAGATTTAACACAGTGTTTTAAAGTAAGTAATATTTATCTAGAAATAAAGATTCTAAATTTATGCCTTTTTGGATTAACTCTGAATATTTTTTTAAATTAACGATAGTGCTACTAAAAAAACTGGACCTGTGCAATTCAGGAATAAACTCCGTATTCATTTTGATAAGCCCTGAGAGCACCTTTCTTACAGCCCTGCATACTGATGAGTCATGAATTATCAATAATGATAACACACACTTGAAACATTAAGGGTGGATCACTTTGTTCAGGATATTCTGTTTAAAGAGAAGAAGAACTTCAGAAACCTATTCAAATGTTCGGAGTAATGAACTGGGATCACATCATAGAGAAATGGAATTCTGGAGCTAGCTGAACCTGTGATATGGACTTACTTAATTGTTTTCTCCTCAAGTAACAAATCTTCCGGCAAGTATGAAGTAACTGTGGCAGTTCGTATTAAAATGCCGTGTGCCCTGCACATTAAAATGCCTGTGCCCTGCAGCCCCACTAGAGTTCTCCCAGCTTCTTCACCATGGGGCATGACAGCGAGATGTGGGGCCAGCTCATGCAGACACTTGCCTCGTCGCCCTGGCTTTCCTTCTGCTCGTTACTTTATGGGCATAAGAGTCACCGTTGCACAGCTCTGCTCTGCAAGCTTCTCAAGAGTCTTCCCAGATGTCATTTTAATCATATTGAGTCAAAGCCTAGTTAAAGTATTAAATACCTTCTTGCATTGACTTTTGAATCTGAGCAGACCTCAGAAGTTAGGGTGCGGTGGATGTGTTCTTGCAGGTTTGAAAAGTATACACTCATTCCTTAATCTAGAACAAGTCATCCATCTTAGGATTCCGGACAGTTCCAATTTTGTTGTTGTCTCTGAGCCTTGTACATTGTGTGCTTTAACATTTTAGGTTGGGGATCAGCAAACTGTGACTGAAGACCAGTTGCCGCGTTTCTGTGAAGTTATATTGGGACGGCCATGCTCATTTGCCCCTGTTTTGTCTGTGCGCTTTTGCACTTCATTGACAATGGGGAGTAGTTGAGACAGAGACCACCTGGCCAGAGAGCCAGAAATATTTGCTGTCTGGCTTTTTGCAGAAAGATGTCACAGACCCCTGTTCTAGGTGTTGGGCACCTGTCTCACTGTAATCGTTGGGCTCCCTGATGTCAAATATGGTTAGATTATTGAAAACACTCCACTGTTCTTGCCTGGGAAATCCCATGGGCAGAGGAGCCTGATGGGCTACAGTCCACGGGGTTGCAAAAGATTTGGACACAGCTTAACAACTAAATAACAACAACATTGAATTTTAAGAACTTCAATGTGGCTTAGTTCCTCTTCCAAGTTTTAGTGTCTTTTCTCTTTAATGTAAATTTCTCCATATTTAAAATCTTGTTTCTGTAACCACATCCTCCGAATTTTGCTTTGTGTGCTGATTAATTTCTTTAATGGAAGTTGAGGCCCTGTAAAACTTAGAGCTCAACTTTTAATTTACACTAGTATAAATAAAATGCCACATACACAAATACCATGGAAGCATGCATACACACACGTACATACTTGGATGTGTACCTATGCTTACACACACTTTTTAAATAGAATACAGTTTGGTACCCAGTACCACTAACAACCAGATTATACTTTACTGCTGCATTATCTTGCAGTCTAAAATTTTAACTTTTGTTTGTTTTTCTGAGTCACCAACATGTCTCAATATTCCCTGATTTCCAAAAATGCCATACAGTTGACTGTTGAGCACCACAGGTGTGAACTGGGGGGGTCCGCTTATTCTCGGATTTTTTTCTTCTTTTGATAAAAAACAGTACTGTGCTGTTGGTCAGATCCACAGAAGTGGAGCCACAGATAGAGAGGGCCAGCTCTGGGACTTGAGCGTCCCCGGATTTTGGTGCCCCTGCAGACACTGAGGGGCGACTGCAGTGTCCTGGTGTTTGACCACTGTAAATCCTTGTGATGTTAAGCAGAAGCCTCTGGCTGTGCGTTTAGTTCTGTGTAACTTCTCTCTTCCCTCTCTGCAGCTTACTGTTTCCAGCCCAGTTCCATCTTTTATTTTCACAGGTTTCATCATTATCACCTATCCCTTTCTTTAACAAGAAAATATTTAAATTTATTTGAATCTGAGTTAACATTACAATAGTTGGTTTTTATTTTGTGCTACTAAAACCATTTTTCTGTGAAGTATGTGTAAGAACAAAGCAAATCTGTAACCAACTATTCCAAATAGCGCTTTTGCTCTGAGTTCCTTTATTTTTGAGAACAGCTTAGCACTAAGGAAAGGCTATTTGAACAAAGTTTATAGCACTTTGTCATTTTAGGGAGATATGGTGAAGTTATACTTTTATATATTCACACCTTTGACCTCATTCCCAAAGAAATTTGGGGATTTTTAAGCTGTTACTTGGCATGTTGCAAACCACTGTTTCTAATACTTATCAGTTCTGCTGTGTCATTTGGTTACTGGAGCTGAACAGAGGGGTTGCTGATTACAGGGAACTTTCATGCCATAGCAAGTCTTCAGTTCTTGGGAGAGAGCCGAGGGTATGTGAGCTTGTGGGACATTGGTGAATACGCTTACTTAATCAGTCTGTGTCTCATCAGACTGCAGCCCCCAGGTCTTTGTGTACTGTGACGCCTATATAAAGTTCCTTCTCAGCTTCACAGAGAATTAGGTTTGAAATTGTTGTCTCTTCAAGAGACTCCATTATGTACAGTGGAGATACTCGTTTCGATGAAGACTTAATGTTTATTTCACATCATCTTTCTTGAAAGAAGAAATAAGTAGATGTTGAAATTCTTTATTTTGAAATTCTAAAAACATTAGCTTTTACAAGTTTTCCAGTATGTTTTCGTACATTTCACCATATCCTTTTAAATTGTTCCTTAAATTGAGATGTATATAGGTACCTTAGAATTCAGAAAGTTAGTGTGTAGTGTCTTGTCTGGCTTCCAGTAGACAGATGTTTGTTAAGTGAACCGTTAAACAAGAAATGAAAATAGACATACATCTGATTATTTGTGAAGAGAGAGGTGGTTTGCTTGGGTGGAGAGGTCTTGGCAGTTACATGCAGGGATTTTATGGTTCAGTGATGAAAACGGTCATCTAGTAATTGAGCACCCTGTGCTGTGCTTGGCCCTCTGGGGAACCCACCCAGATAGTTGGGAGGGTGGGTTTAGCAAATCAGAGGGAAGGAGGAGAGCTGAAATTGTGTCGCACGCCTGCTACGTGCAGAGCCTTGGGGTGGAAACGCTCACATGCGTTGTCTCACTGCACCCGCACCATGGCCCTGGAGTCCACGCTGTCACTGTGTCTGTACCAGGAGGAAATAGACAAGAACGAGGGAGGCATGGTCCCATGCTGCACCACCCCAGCCCCTCTGGGATCTGGTGAGGTGCTTTTGCCCACAGGTAGTCCAGTGAACACAGAATAGAGAGTGGAAGTGTTCCTGGGAGCTGTGGTGTATGACAAGACCACGAGGGGCCAGGTGATGCTCGTGCCACTCTCCCCTCCACTGTTGTCTTCTCAGGTCGTGGTTCTGAAGTTCTATGTTTTCTTTTTATACAGAAAAAACTGAAGCTGAAAATTTGGAGGAAAACGAGGAGCCTTTCATTGCCCCATTAGGACTGAACGTGCCACCTGATGTGGAACTGGTAGGTGTCTTTGTCCTTCACGATGCTATTCACCGCTGTTAGCACTTACCAGGAAGTACTCATGTGAGAGCCTCACCACAGTCACAGCCGTCTTACAGTTTGTGTGATGCTTTACAATTATTTTTGAGTTAATGGAGGAAAAATCATCACACACCGCCTATTTTTCTCTGAAGAAAAAGAGAAACATCACAGAAGAATCACTAGACCAGAGCATCAGAGGCTGGGGGAGCTGGCTCACTCTCAGAGACCATGTGGTTGAATCCCCAGGTTTTACCAGCACAGAAAAACCTAGTCAGAATTTCTGGTGAGGAGACTGTTAGCCACGCTTAGGTGTAAAAACCCTCTTGCTCAAAGCAGCTTGGCTTCAGTAAAGTTGCTCTGTCCTGTCTTTCTCTAATGTGGTTTTTGTGGGCACTTGAGATAGGTGTCTTCACCTTGACATGCCCCGGCACACTTCCGCCTGGCTTTCCTCTCTGGCATGCCAAGACCCTGTGGCATCTCCAGGCAGCCCCTGCACACAGGAGGAGCACCTGGGTGGCGTCCTCTCCACCTTAGTGCTCTGAAGCTGGTTACTGGCGGAGTTGGATTAACCGCACCTCACCTGGCTGTTGCAGCTACATTTGGTTAAGGTTACATTGTAACAGGCCTCATCAAGGGTTTTCCACCTATTACCTCCTTTAATGCTGGTGATCCTATGAAGTAGCTTCTTGTTACTATCTGTCTTTCACAGATGAAGAGAAGTGAAGAAGTTGGGTCACACACAGCAGGCAGGAACTCTGGCTCATAGTCTTTTAACTGTCGGGCCACAATAAGTTGCTATGATTTGTAGGATCCTTACATGTTTATTAGGGATGTTTAAAACATTTTTGTTGCATGTACATACCCAAAAAAGGGCTATTTGTGCTCACTGTAGAGTTTTTTCTTTGGTGTCTTCCTGCCTTGGATGTGGGTATTCCAGGTCCTTCTGTGTGTCCTGCTACAGCATCACTGAATAAACAGTGGACACTGAAAACTCACAGGAGTCTTTTGCATTCTCCTCATGTGTGCATGACACCTTCCATATTTAGTGCAGCATGGATTGATGGTTCTTCCCCTTTAGTTTTGGTAATATAGAGTTTTATTATTTTTCTGTTGACCAGTCATGATACAATGGTATTAAGTCAGTAACAGTTACATAATCACAATAGAGGAAGATTTATTTTCAGTTTTCATAATCAGTGACCAGACAAAAAGTAAAAGATGATTACAATTGCAAGCCATAATGGGAACATGATTAACTTCACAGTATAAAAAAATTACATGCAGTTTGGGGGGTCAAGCAGAGTGATGTGGTACATATGTATGGAAGTGCATACAAGCACATGTTTTCATCTGCCCAGTTAGTCTCTGTCTTTTGATTGGTGCATTTAATCCATTTACATTTAAGGTGATTATAGATGTTACCATAGTCTTAATTATTTTGGGTTTATCTTCTGTAGGTCTTTTGCTTCTCTTGTTTCCTGCCTAAAGAAGTTCTTTTAGTATTTGTTGTAAAGCTGGTTTGGTGTTGCTGAATTCTCTTAACTTTTGCTTGTCTGGAAAGCTTTTGATTTTTGGATCAAATCTGTATGAGAGTCTTGCTGGGTAGGGAAATCTTGGTTGTAGGTTCTTCCCTTTCATCCCTTTAAATATATCTTGCCACTCCCTTCTGGCTTGTAGAGTTTCTGTTGGGAAATCAGCTGATAAACGTGATGGGAGTTTCCTTGTATGTTATTTGTTGTTTTTCCCTTGCTGCTTTTACTATTTTATCTTTTTCTTTAATTTTTGTCAGTTTGATCACTGTGTGTCTCAGTGTGTTCCTCCTTGGATATATCCTGTCTGGGATGCTCTGCTTCCTGGACTTGGTTGATTGTTTCTTTTCCCTTGTTAGGGAAGTTTTCAGCTATTTTCTCTTCAAATATTTTTTCAGGTCTTTACTCACTCTCCTCCTTCTGGGACCCCTATAATGCGAATGTTGGTGCGTTTAATATGTCCCAGAGGTCTCTTAGGCTGTCTTCTTTTTTTTTTTTTTTTTTTTTTTTCCCATTCTTTTTTTGAGTATTCTGTTCTGAGGCAGTGATTTGCACCATTCTGTCTCCAGGTCATTTATCTGTTCTTCTGCCTCAGTCACCTCATTTATTCTGCTATTGATTCCTTCTAGTGTATTATTCATCTCTGTTAGTTTGTTCTTTAGTTCTTGTAGGTCTTTGGTAAACATTTCTTGCACGTTCTCCATTGTTTTCCCAAGATCCTGGATCATCTTCACTATCATTATTCTGAATTCTTTTTCTGGCAGGTTCCTTCTTCACTTCATGTAGTTGTTTTTCTGAGATTTTATGATGTCCCTTCATCTGGGACATAACTTTCTGCTTTTTCATTTTGATTAACTTTCTGTCATATGGTTTCTGTTTTAGTCTTTGGGACTATGCCTCTTGGTTATTCTGTCTGCCCTCTGATGGAGGAGGCTAAGAGGTTGGTGTAAGCTTCCTGATGGGAGTGACTGGCATGGGAAAAACTGGGTCTTGGTCTGGTGGCCAGGGCCTTGCTTGTAAAGCTTTAATCCAATTATCTGCTGATGGGTGGGGTTGCACTCCCTCCCTGCTAGTTGTCTGGCCTGAGGCAACTCAGCCCTGGGGTCTGCTAGCTCTATGGTGGGTGCGGTTAATGGTGACCTCCAAGAGGGCCTACTCCAACAGGGACCCTCCCGACCTGATGCTGCCAATGCCCGGGCCCCGCAGTGAGCCCCTGCCAACCCACGCCTTCACAGGAGGTCCCCCAACACTAGCAGATAGTTTTGGTTCAGTCTCCTGTAGGGTCACTGCTCCTTTCCTCTGGGTCTTGGTGTGCACAAGATTTTGTGCCCTCCAAGATTGAAGTCTCTGTTTCCCCCAGTCCTGTGGAAGTCCTATAATCAAATCCCACTGGCCTTCAAGGTCAGATTCCCTGGGGATTCCCAGTCCTTTTGTCGGATCCCCAGCCTGGGAAGCGTGATGTGGGGTTCAGAACCTTCACAACAGTGGGAGAACTTCTTTGGTATTATTATTCTCCAGTTTTCGGGTCACCCACTCAGTGGGTGTAGGATTTGATTTTATCGTGATTGTGCCTCTCCTACAGTCTTGCTGCAGCTTCTTTGTCTTTAGATGTGGGGTATCTTTTTGGGGGGTACCAGTGTCCTCCTGTCAATGGTTGTTTTAACAGCTAGTTGTGATTTTGGTGCTTTCGTAGGAGGTGAGCACATGTCCTTCTGCTCCACCGTCTTGAACTGGAAGTCTGCTCTCTTCTGATGTTATTATAAAATGGTCTCTTGAGTAGGAAATTGCTCTGTGTAGAAAGCACTTGTGAGTGCTCACTGGGTCTCCAGTGGACAGCTTGCTTTTCCTTTATGGTGACGTCAGTAGTGGATTTTTCATAATTGCTGTGAGTTGGAGCAGTGATCCGCTGTGAGCGTTGTACACTGCCGTGCCCGCGTCAGTGGAGTAGCTCCAGTAGGCAATGTCTGTGTCATGGGTTCCTTCTCGGTCACTGAAGGCTGAAACTGCTGGCACATGTTTATGTGGACACATGCTGCCTGGGTGGGCAGGGGCTTCTCTAGCTCCTGGCCATCGGGGTTGGGGGTGGTAAAGAGAGCAGGTGCTTTAGGGGTTCTTCGTTTCTAAATTAAGTTTTTGGTTTAACAACCCAATGGCTGCAGGGGCTCTGGGGGTTTCGTGTGAAGGATTGGGAGCAGTTAAGAGATCACGGCACCCTGGAGATGTGTGCTGGTGCAGGCTCGAGGATGGCCACTTGTGTCAGGTCCAGAACCTAGGCTAGACTCAAGCCCCTCAGGTGGCCTCACAGCTCTATTTTAGCTTTTTATACTGACTCTGTGGCTATTTGTATGTTCCTTTGGAAATAAGGACCTAGTTTTTGCCAGAATATGTAGCCCAATGCTTGTCCTGACAGTGTTTTCAGTTACCTGCTCCTTTCCCAGGCTTTGTCACCTCCCAAGTTCTGCACACGCCCAGGCCCGTTTGTGGTTGTGTTGTCTTGCACTGCAGGGAAGGTAGAGAGCATGTCTCAACCTGGTCTCTCACCCACCTGAGATGCCACGGGCCTTCTGGGCCTGTCCTATACCTTCTTGTGTTTCCCTCAAGCCGTGGGGACCAGAAGGGCTGCTGCTTAGCACGCCCATTTGAGTGTATTTCCATGGGAAATGCGCTTTGTTATTCAGTCGCTCAGTCACATCTGACTCTTTGCGACCCTGTGGACTACAACATGCCAGGCTTCCTTGTCCTTTACAGTCTCCCAGAGTTTGCTCAAACTCATGTCGTTGAGTCAGCGATGCCATCCAACCATCTCACCTTCTGTCATCCTCTTCTCTTGTCTTCAGCCTTTCCCAGCATCAGGGTCTTTTCCAATGAGTCAGCTCTTTGCATCAAGTGGCCAAAGTATTGGAGCTTCAGCTTCACCATCAGTCCTTCCAATGAAATGTGCTTGTTTAACTTACTTTATGGGCAGAGGGAAAAGGGGGAAGGATTCAGTGCACAGTTCCCATCATGGGCTGGGTTTCTGTCCAGTAGGTTAATAGCAATAGCAGATAAGAAGTGTTCTTTGAGCAGGTGCTATGAGTCAGGCACTGTGCTTGCTCTGCTCCTCAGTCTCCCTGACACCAGTATTTCTGTGATGGGGACACAGGCTAGAGCTGTCAAGAGTAGCCGCCCCAGGTCAGCCTGTGGGTCACGCCTGCACTTGTAGCCCAGAGCCATTGCAGAACTTGGGGTCACGTGGTTACGCTTCGTTGAAGGTTGCTCTGATTAGAGCGTTAATTCTCACCATTTGTTCAGCTGGTGTGTTGCCATGGGATGGGGGTGCAGAAAAAAATTATTTACCCATGTCCCTGGGGAGTTCGTGTGTTTTCTCAGGAGACTGTGAGGGCTTTTTATATATGATGAGTGCTGACTAACCCCTGGTTCAGTATGTGTTGTGCATGTTTGTTCTTCTGGTACTTTGTCTCTTAACTGTTTGTCCCTCTTAACTGTTTGTCCCTCTTTCCATGCAGAATTTAAATGTATTTGTAAAAACACATATGTCACCATGTTCCTTTCTGGCTTCAGGATTTTGAATCTGGTTTTAGTAGACCTTTCCACCCCTGACAGCCCTGTAGTCCCTGCTGTTACATCCATGGTTTTGTTTTTACAATGCAGTTCATGACTCAATCTGATATTCATTTGGGGCTGTGATCACAGAGGCCTTTCCTGATAGCTCAGTTGGTAAAGAATCCACCTGCAATGCAGGAGACCCCAGTTCAATTCCGGGGTCAGGAAGATCTGCTGGAGAAGGGATAGGCTACCCGCTCTAGTATTCTTGGGCTTCTCTTGTGGCTCAGCTGGTAAAGAATTTGCCTACAATGCTGGAGATGTGGGTTTGATCCCTGGGTTGGGGAGATCCCCTGGAGAAGGAAATGGCTACCCACTCCAGTATTCCGGCCTGGAGAATTTGATTATAGGACTTCCACAGGACTGGGGGAAACAGAGACTTCAGTCTTGGAGGGCACAAAATCTTGTGCACACCAAGACCCAGAGGAAAGGAGCAGTGACCCTACAGGAGACTGAACCAAAACTATCTGCTAGTGTTGGGGGGCCTCCTGTGAAGGCGTGGGTTGGCAGGGGCTCACTGCGGGGCCCGGGGCACTGGCAGCATCAGGTCGGGAGGGTCCCTGTTGGAGTAGGCCCTCTTGGAGGTCACCATTAACCCCACCCACCATAGATCTAGCAGACCCCAGGGCTGAGTTGCCTCAGGCCAGACAACTAGCAGGGAGGGAGTGCAACCCCACCCATCAGCAGATAATTGGATTAAAGCTTTACAAGCAAGGCCCTGGCCACCAGACCAAGACCCAGTTTTTCCCATGCCAGTCACTCCCATCAGGAAGCTTACACCAACCTCTTAGCCTCCTCCATCAGAGGGCAGACAGAATAAGCAAGAGACACAGTCCCAAAGCGACTAAAACAAAAACCATATGACAGAAAGTTAATCAAAATGAAAAAGCAGAAAGTTATGTCCCAGATGAAGGGACATCATAAAATCTCAGAAAAACAACTAAATGAAGTGGAGAGGGACTGTATAGTGTCTTACATACATTTGCTTCAGTCGCAGATCCTGAAAGGATGTTCAAGCATGTTCCTAAAGTGCTTTGTTTCTCTATACTCATCTTCACTTTGTGAAATTACCCGTCTGTTTTTCTGTAACCACCGTAACCATAATACTGCCCAACAGGTTGGTGGGTCATGAGAGAACATCTCTACTTGTGGGGGCAGATGGGGTTATATTTTCCCGTAAGGATCATTATTCTGAAGTAGTCATAAATAATTATCATATATACACTGACTCCAAAATTAATCTTCCTGTTGAGCCAAAGCCACTGAAAACATGCATCAGCATCCAGACTTAAGTGCGCAGTGGACCTTTAACATGGCCTCTGGTTTATTTTAGGATCAGTAAATAGCTTTAATTATAGACATTTATGCTCTTCAAGAGTGAAGGACGTCATTAGTTCAGGAGTCACATTTGAGAATTAAGGCATTGGTATTTTGTGAAGGATTCAGGCCTGAAATGACAATAAGCATCTTGACTGTGTTGTTAATGAGAGGTCATTTCCCACTTTATTTGCATGTAGTTTTCTAGTATTAATCTTTTCATTGATATTAATAAAAGTATTTCAGATGTGTGGCTTCCAGCTTCTGGTCTGAGGGGCTCCATGTGTGGGTAGGAATTGCTCAGCTTGGGATGTGGTAGAGGTAACTTAGCAGCAGGTGGAGGAAAGAGGTGGGGTCTGATTCCTAGTAGTAAACTCACTCTAAGGCAACAAGATGATTCACCCAGTAAACGTGGGTGAAACCCTCCCTTTTCTGGCCAGACCATACCTTGCTGTTCAGTTGCTAAGTCGTGTCCAACTCTGCAACCCCATGAACTGCAGCACGCCAGCCTTGCGTGTCCTTCTCTATCTCCCTGAGTTTGCCCAAACTCACGTCCATTGAGTCAGTGATGCCATCCAACCACCTCATCTTCTGTCATCCCCTTCTCCTCCTGCCTTCAGTCTTTGCCAGCATCAGGGTCTTTTCCAGTGAGTTGACTCTTCCCGTTATGTGGCCAGAGTATTGGAGCTTCAGCTTCAGCTTTAGTCCTTCCAGTGTATATTCAGGGTTGATTTCCTTTAGGATTGATTAGTTTACCTTGCTGTTCAAAGGACTCTCAGCAATCTTCTCTAGTACCACAGTTTGAAGGCATCAATTCTTTGGTGCTCAGCCTTCTCGATGGTCCAGCTCTCACATCTGTACATGACTGCTGGAAAAACTGTAGCTTTGACTATATAAACCTTTGTTGGCAAAGTGATGTCTCTGTTTTTTAATACGCTGTCTAGGTTTATCATAGCTTTTCATCCAAGGAGCAGGTGTCTTATAGTTTCGTGGCTGCAATCACTATCTGCAGTGATTCTAGAGCCCAAAGAGAAGTGATTCTTAGATCCTTAAAAAGCTTGTTGAAACATGCACCCTCTCCTAGAAATATGTGTATGTGCCGAATTTACATACAGCTTCCCCGAAGATTCATAACCTCTGAAGCCTGTCATGGAACCATGGTTAAGGGCACCCAATATATGGAAACATGTTGATTTTTTTAACAAAAATCTTCCTCCCATCAGTTCAGTACAAAGCTAGAATGTCCTGCCTCAGCATGGGAGCTTTCTCCTCACAAGATTCAGAAACTGGGTGTCATGGGACAGGGGCCAGTGTCAGAGTCTGTTCAAACTGGGCTCTTCCCATTGAAATGTCTGTAATTTCTTATAGTTGGCAATAAAAACCAGGGTCATTTATATGTTTTGAGTCACGTAGTGAGTGGACAGAACAAACTGGTGACATGAATGTGTGTGTTTTCTCATAGCCACCAACAGCCAAAATGCACGCCATCATTGAGCGCACAGCCAACTTCGTGTGCAAACAAGGTGCACAGTTCGAGATAATGCTGAAAGCCAAGCAGGCCCGAAACTCTCAATTTGACTTTCTACGCTTCGATCACTACCTCAACCCCTACTACAAATTCATCCAGAAAGCGATGAAAGAAGGACGGTATACGGTACTGGCAGAAAACAAAAGTGAAGAGAAAAAGAGTATGTGAAACTGTTTCTGTTCTGCTTTGGTTGGGGTGGGGTGTGGCAGGGGTAAGGGGGGACCCTGGAGAAGTGTGAAGAGGGTCATCCTCATAAGCTTGAAGTCTGCACTGCAGAACTTCCAGAACATTTATGAAGTCCTGCTGCCAAGGCCCAAGGATTAAACCTGCTCTGTAGTCTAGTGTGACACTCTTCCTGCTAAGTCTGAAAATATATTAGATTCCTAATTAATATTTTTATAGATTGGTGATGTAGAATTAAATATTGATGCCATCAGAGCATAACAATGTTGGTTAGAAATAATTCCTTCCTTTGGGCTGTTGAACGTGTCACAGAGAAAGCAGCAGGTTCATGCTTCATGGATGGTTCCAGGGTACATGCCCGGTTAGGGCTTAAGGTTGAGTGTCTAAATTTGGAATTCTTATGACAAAGACCAATTAAGGATTTCGAATAACATCCTGAGACAGCTGTATATCTGTCTGCCATTGAATTTTTCTTTCAGCTGAAACATGATTTTCAAAATCAGTTGTGTCAATCTTACTACAGACCTTACCTTCTCCATGTTGGTCTCCTGTAGGTTTCTAAAATACCTGTTGCTGTAATTTTACCTTCATAAATCAGTGAGATTTTTGCCTCTTTTGTAAAAAAAAAATGTGAATATTCAGTGGCCCCCGACCGGTAAATGCCAGAGGGGAGGTGCCACTGGGCCATGCCTTTCTCACAGCCTGCCTTGCTGTTGAGTGACTTGGGGGGCAACGAGATGAGGAGTGTTTCCCAGAGGGATTGTTTGGGCAGATAACCGAGGAATGGCAGCACATAGTTCTGCCTCTGTCTGTTGCTATGTTCTCACACAGTATATTTGTACCTTAAAGTCTTGAATGTTCTTTGCTTTCAGAGTCGGGCGTCAGCTCTGACAACGAAGATGACGACGACGAGGAGGACGGCAGTTACCTGCACCCGTCCCTCTTCGCCTCGAAGAAGTGCAACCGCCTGGAGGAGCTCATGAAGGTGCTGGTCTCCTTAGAGAACACACCTGCTGATTTAACCTTGGGGGGTTGCTAAGCGAGCATGGTTTTGTGTATTAGCTCTATTTCGTTTTATGATCGTTGAGGTGTATTTCACCATTTTGTTTGACTTAGCAGCAAAGGATTTGGTTCCTTTCTTTCTTTCTTTTTTTTTTTAATTTTTTTTTTTGGTCCCTTTATTTCTTATGTGTCCTGTTTTATATAATCACAAACATTATTTTCATTTTATTATATTTGGGATATTTTTTACTATTTGGGATATTTAGAATAAGTAAAATGTTGATTGAGACTTAGAAAATGGGTTTTTCATACACATTTTATTACGAGAGGATTTCATAGGTTCACAGAATATGTGCTGCTTGAAACCATCTATCATAGGAAACATAATGTATTACCTAAAAACCTAAATTTTTTTTTTCATCCTTATCATTAGGAGTTAATCCACACCCTTCATGCTTCCATTTGTGATGTGAGAAAACAGGTCCCTCAAACCTAAGCTTATCTTTTTAGTAGTCATTCAGTGCAGCTGATCGATTGGACTTTAAAAGCTGTTGGTGATTAAAAATGAGAAATTGCTTTGAGGAGGAACACAGTTTGAGATTTTGAGTGAATTTGGAGGCTGACACTTTTCTCAGCAGCAGTCTACTCCTGATCTCCCGTCCTTACTTTCCCTCATGTCATTAGGAAGAGTGAAGTGATTCATTTATTCGGTTCCTCTGGATCTGACCAGCTAGAGCGCTCAGCCACAATTACTCAGGGCCTCCTTGGGTGCAGGCATGTTTACATGCATGTGCTGAGGTTTTTCTGAAGCATAGATACTGTTCTAAAGTTGAGATGAACCTTCTTGCCACAGAAGGGTTCTGCATGACTTGGAATGCAGGAAGCGGTGTGACCTGGCGTCTTCTCTCTCTGCAGCCTTTGAAGGTGGTGGACCCTGATCACCCCCTTGCAGCGCTGGTCCGTAAAGCCCAGGCCGACAGTCCTGCCCCCACCCCACCCACTGCAGATGGTGCAGCCGTGCAGCCCTCCCAGGTGGAGTACAGCGCTGACTGTGAGTATTTTGTTGTGCACTTCCCGGCAGGGTGTCAAAAAAATATGAAAGCTGGCGGGCAGGTCTGGTAGAGGTGCCATGAGGAGCCTTTATGTTGAACATCCTTAGCCCGTGGCCTCATCCTCTTGCTTGTCGCTTCATATTAGCAAGATGGCTGCCCTATCACCAGCATCAGCCCTGCATTCCAGGACAGATAAAGAGGAAGGGCAAAAGCAGAAAACAGTGTTACGGTCTTCTCATCCTACAGCATAGGCTGGGCAGTGGACTTTGATTTGGACACATCGCTGCCCTAAACAAAATCAGTTCTGTTAAGAAGAGCAGGGAGACAGACATTGGTGTAGTGTTGTGTGCCATGGTCACTTTGCTGAAAGAGACACAGGGCTTAAAACAGTATCTAATATGCACCTTGGAATTGTTTTCAGTTCCTACTTATTCTCTGATTGCTACTCTGATTAATCTTAAGATTACTAATAGAATGCAAATCTTGTGAAGTTTTATTCAAGAAATTATTTGAAAATATTTAAAGTATTTAACCTTGGTCTTACTACCAGGTCTTTTTAAAATTATTTTATTTAGAGGTTAAATATTGAATGAGAGAAGAACCTTTAGCAAAGCCACAGGAATTCTGTTCAGCCTACATCTTGTATCTGATACAATGAATCCATCTATAAAGCTCGTCACTCTGAGCGATTAGAGGGTCAGCCTGAGGTTAATTCCATTTTAAAATGTATAAAGTGCTTGTTTTGGGGGAATGAAGCTTTTGTTAAAAATGATAACTGTGTCCTTTTGCACTTCCTGTCTGGCACTGACATGCAATAATGTGTAATTTTGATGTGCTAAATTAACATTTTTAGACTTCAGAAATCAGTCGCTTTAGTGAACTTAATGCGTATGTCCTAATAAAAAAACCTCTTAAAGAACTCAGGTAACATCTTTAATGCTTAAATCAAGTTAAATGAAATTTCTTTAAATGTGCAAATCAAAGAGCAGATCTAACCCTGTTTCATCTCAACTGCTGGTTAGGGTTTGGGCTTGGGGTGTGGTGGACCTGTCATAATAAGCAGAAATGCCTGCAGCATTTTGTAAATCACTCCCCAGGGGCTTTCTGTGTAGCCAGCCCGCAGGGTGAATCTGCTGCTGCCTCAGCCCAAGGTGCAAGCCCGCTGAGCGGGAATTCTCCAGTTTCCTTCTTCCTTGCTGTCCCTTTTCAGACCTGTCCTTGAATTTCCATAAGTTCAGTATGGTGTCCCTACATCTCCACTAGATTCCTAGAGCTATCAAACTTTCTTACGTTGGGAAGGAATAGAAATTCAGGATTGAGTGGCAGTTACCTGGTTATTCTCGCTGCTTATCATTAGTGTACATGCAGTTAATTGTGACATTGGTAATGGCTCAGTGTGTCTAGAGACCCTGTAGGACTGGGCAGGGGAGTAGCTGAGCGAGAGAAGCTGCTCAGTGACTCGGGATTTCACTGCAAGGTCCTGTGGTCTGATTGTTGACCGTGGTCTGGGCCAAGTAATGGCAGGATGAAAGGTGTGGGCAGGTCCCAGGGAGCCCATGACTTCAGCCCCTTCTACCACCCACCAGGGGCCCCGGAGGCCAAGGTGACTCATGGCAGCCTCTTCCCCCCGGGATAATCTCACCCTTGCTCTTTGCAACTTCTGTGAACCAGTTCATAAGTGAGAAGTCTTGGTTCCCTGCCTGACCCATGACCCCAGATGGAGATCCAGTCAGGGGGCACCATTAGTAACCGGCTCTTCCCCTCAACAAAATAGTTGTTTTGATGGTCATCATTCTCTGGTGTCTCAGCTGGTAAAGAATCCACCTCCAATGCAGGAGACCTGGGTTCGACCCCTGGGTTGGGAAGATCCCCTAGAGAAGGGAGAGGCTACCCACTTGAGTATTCTGGCCTAGAGAATTCCATGGACTGTATAGTCCATGGGGTCGCAAAGAGTCAGACACAACTGAGCGACTTTCACTTCACTTCATCTCCTTCACACGTGCAAGAGTGACAGACATGAGTAGGAGAGGACCTTTGGGGGGTCATGCCTGGACACACCCCGCATCAAGGGCAGCCTCACATCTGCCCAGGCCCACAGAGATGAAGGAGTTGGTGCTGACAGATCCTGTGGCTGATCAGACATGGCAAAGGTCAGGGACCTTCTAGGTATTCCAGAGAAACAAGGAATCTAGCATGTTTGGGTGAAACATCTCAACTTACAGATGTTGGCAGTGAATTCGTATTTTGTAAAAATACAAGGCAGTCCAGCAAAACATACAGCAAGCCAGATGCTATTCACAGGTGCCTGCCTCAAACCTCTGCTGTGGGTGCAGGAGGGATCACAGGCTGTGGGTCAGAGGGAGGTCGAAGAGCTCCTGTGGAGACTGTGCTCAGCAGTAGTCAGCTCTGCCTAGAGGCTGGGGAGCAGGCTCTGAAGTGTCCTTCAGATTTCACACAGATTTAAATGCATTGTTCCAGGAGCGAGACCAGTTTTATTGAAATGATTCCTTCCTGGTAGGAAGTGAATGGGCAGTGTGCACGACCCCTTGGCCACTTCCTGGAACTTGCCTGTGAAGAGGAGCGCAGGAACAGCACGTAGTGAAGGAAACGTTCCCTGAGAGCCCTCCCTCCAGGATCAGCCCCTTGGGTTGCCATGACAACAACTCATCTAGCATCCAAGAGTCTTAGGGTGGGAGAGGTGGCCTGGGTGTTCCCAGGAAGATCCCTGGGCTAGAATTTGGCTCTGGATCAGAAAAATGCTTAGAAAAAGTAAATACAGATAGCTGTACTTGGGTTCTCAAAGAAGTTGGTTTTTATTTGTAGTTAGATTCTTAACAGCAAGCAAGAATATGAAAAATTTGAAAGAGAGGCACAATAAAGGGCCACATCTGATGTGGCCCATAAGATAACCAAGTGACGTATTATAATAGAAGTCCTTGGAAGGTCTGAATAAATTCGTGATTTAAGCAAAGTGTGTGATTAAAACAGGTCTGAAAATGCTGCTTCCACACGTACCTGAACGTGTGCCCCTGTTGACTCACTTTTGGCATGGGCCACACCCTTGCCTCTGACAGGCATACTCACCACGGCCAGTCTGGGTTCTGTGAGTTGAGGTGAGGTGAGGTGTACTTCAAGAGCAGAACCCTAGGATTGCCATGTCTTCCTTCTGCGCTTTCACAGTTCTTTCTCCCTCCTTGGGTTCCACAGCAGTTTTTTGTTTTTGTATTTTAAGCAATTGGTGTTTTAACCCATCTTTTAAAGGATTCAGTTTCATTTTCACAGAAGCAGCCATTCTCTTTTCCCACCCAGATTTCATCTGTTTGCATAAATGTTAATTAAATACCTACATTCCAGTACATCTAACTGGAAAATGTTTAAAAGTGAAAAACTCTGCTGGTAAAAGCAGAAAGGCTCAGCCTTCTAAGGAAGAACGTCCTGGCCTGGAGTGTTAGTGCCTCCTGGGGCCTCCCCAGCACAAAACCCAGAAGACTCTTCAGAGGGAGAGGATGAAGGAGCCCCCCAGAAACAGGTTCAAATGAGGAAGCACTGGCTTATGAAAAGCATGGTGTCAGGAAAAACTATTCAGAAAAGATCCCATTAAAACCTTGCCTTTTATCTAACAGCAGAATCACTTCCAGGTTTAAGTGCCAGATGTGAGAGTCTCAGGAAGGTAAGTATACTTCAACAGATAAAAATCATCTATTTAAACCAACAGACATGATATTTAACTAATGGAAAAAAATAAAGCCATTAAGAAAGCAGAAAAAACTAATAATACACAAACAGCTTTTACAGTCAAGTAAGGAAAAAAAAAACAGTTCAGTAGAAAAAATGAACTGTAGTATGACTAATTCACAAAGGCAAAAATGACCATACAATTTTTTTTTAAGGTTTACCCTTGCTGCTCACTCAAATGGCATTGTATCTGCTGACTTTAGAACCTAACCTCCACAGAAAATAAAATCCAACATTTCTTTTAAATCAGGCTACAGCAAATATATGAAGAATCTGAGACTTCATTATGATAAAAAGATATCCATTTGCAGGCACATGAAAATACTTTGAAATTATATGTCTTAAGATAAAATAGATGTTTCTGGGCTATGGAAAATGTTCTTTTGTGTATACCTTTTTAAATTTCTTAGTAATCACAGATTAAATAAAAGAGATACAAATGACCCTACAGTGACATACCATTTTTCAGCTGTCACATAAGCAAAGGACAAAGTTGACAGCACTCACTTGTTGCTAGTGAGAGTGTAGACTTGTATCCAGCAGAGTGGAGGGCAAGTGGACAGTGTAGACCAGAACTAAAATGCACCTGCCTTTGACCCAGAATTTTCCTTTATTTCTCCTATATTTCTACAAATACATGTGTAAAGATTGAGCTACAAGAGTGTTCACTGTGGGACTTCCCTTATAGCTCAGTTGGTAAAGAGTCTGCCTGCAATTCAGGAGATCTGGGTTTGCTTCCTGGGTCAGGAAGATCCCCTGGAGAAGGAAATAGCAACTTACTCCAGTATTCTTGGCCTGGAGAATCCCATGAACAGAGGCGCCTGGCAGGCTGCAGTCCATGGGGTCGCATTGGACACGACTTAAGCTACTAAACCGTCACCACCACCTGGTGGTTCAGTGGCTAAGACTCTGTGCTCCCAATGTAGGGGGCCTGGATTTGATCCCTGGTCAGGGAACTAGATCCCACATGCTGCAACTAAGACCCAGAGCAACCAAATAAATAGCTAAAAAGAAAAAAAAGAATGTTCATTGTAAAAAAGATTTTTATTAGTAGCACAAGGCTGAGCTGCCCTCTGTGTCCTTCAGGGAAGACTAATGGAATAAGCATCAGGGCATGCGTGTGCGTTGTGGGCTGCTGGAGTTAGAGAGGAGCTGGAGGCCCTTCCTGGGGCGCTTGGTGTGGGTGAGGGTAGAAGGCCCAGGAATAGGTTTTGGTGTGAGACCATCAGCGTTCAGTTCAGAAGTGGAAAGACAAGTTAGAAAC